CAACTAGAATTTGCCGCCATAGCGTAAACCAATCTGCGTTGTCGCACAAATCGTACGGTCAAAATTTTCCCCTTGATCTCCATGTGGTATAACATTTCTCCTAATTTTCAACTCTCACCTGCATTTAAAATTATTACGAGAGCTTGTTCATTAATAAAACTGCATGTAAAACTCTTCCTTTTTTATTTAAGGCTTTTAATACGTTTTTCACCTGTAATCAACGATGACACACGACTTGGCTGACGCCATGCCGTAATCACAGCAATCGTCTGTTTGCAACAGTGCGCACCCTATCATGATTATCGTTAACTACTTCTTCGATGCGATCTGCAATACCGACAAATAATAAGTATTTTATTGCAGGGTCACGCTCGGTATATAACTCAGTACTATCCTTGTATCGATAAAGTAGAACGTTCAATCGATACTGTTTTACCATATGATAAAATTTATTATTATTATTATAAGTGAGCAATTATATGGATTTTGAGTAAGCTATTAGTGACCGATTAAGGGCACTTATTCATTTTTTTCTTTGTTGCAGTTCTATGCTAACTTTTTTGTGTTCTGTTTTAATCTACGTTAATGACTTTATCAATTTATCTATGATGAAACGAGTCAATGACTTTAAATTAAATAATTTAAAGGGTTAGTTAGCAATGAGAAATTATAAGCAGTTACAAATTCTTTGCGGATATATGTTGCATATACATTGTGTAAGAAAATGATAGCACTTGTAAGAGAATAATGTATATTTTAAAAAATTTAAAGATTAAAAATGACTTATATGTTTCTCTACGACATGCATATCAAAACTTCTTCATGTATGATGGCACTAAAAGATTTTTTCAAAGAAAATGTCAACATTAGTTATCGCAACTCAAACAAAATGATAAAATATTTTTCCTGTTAATTCGTACTTGAACTGCTCATTAAATCAAAAAAAAACGAAGTCAGTACTTCATTAATATTTAGTGATGAAGAAACAGAAATAAATAAAATCTTTAACGATGGATCGTTGAGAACAATTAAATGAAAGCGAATCGTACTATGCTATAAGAACAGGGAAAATATTTTATTGCGACAGCATTTCAAAATTAATAAATACAAAATATAATATAAAAATATTTAAATTATTATTATTTAAAGGCGAGAGAATAAGCAAATTTCTATGTGACCTATTTTGTTAAGTTTCAATTTCGTATTTTTCTTTGGACAAAGTTCCTCTCTCTCTCTCTCTCTCTCTCTCTCTCTCTCTCTCTCTGTCGTAGGCTTCTTGATGACAAATTGGAATTACTGGTAATAGCGTTAGTTTAACGTTGGTTGTTAACGAAACTTGCAGGTTAATCGAATTTATCTGGCTACGCGCGATCCATGCGCAGAAATTCAACTGGGGTAAGAGTAGTTCGTAGACGGCGCAAAGGGATTTCTAGTTTAGGTAGGTAAGTTAAAAGGAAACGGCGAAACGATCGAGATTTATTACCTTCTCGAATTAGTTCATATCCTATTAATTTTCAACTGTGTGATACTGAGTTCGCACGTAGATATACGATATCCAAGAGCCGAAGACATCTCTATTTGTTGAAAAGTATTTATAGACCATGTGTTTGATTCGATAAATGGGTAAATCTCTTCTAATATCCTCTTGAAAAAGGTCCATGTTAATCAGAGATACAACTCATTCTCTTTCTCTCTTTTCCTATTTTTCCTCTTTTTCCTCTATTTTTCCTTCTCTTTGTCTTTCTTTTTGTTATTTTCTGTCCTTCCACGTCGATCTATCTTTTTCGGTGCACGCTTTTTTCGTCGCTCCTTAAAATTCTCGACAATTTTTCTGCTGACTTTTGGACGTGCGATAATAACGGTCTCGTCAATGTCATTTTCGCTGATGCAAAAACGAGATGCGTGTCTCTGACGATTTATCAAACCTCCGATACGAATTCTTCTATCTTGCGTTCTATGTACAGAAAATTTTCTTTTAACTTTTCATTTGAACTGTATTATATTGAAAAATCGTGTAAAAGAATAGCCAAAAATTTCATATCATTGCGTAAATCCCGAGAAACAGGATATTTATAAGAGAAAATGAATGTGAATTTGATAAAAAATGAAATTATTATTATTATTATTATTATTATTATTATTATTATTATTATTATTATTGTCATTCGTGCTATATCGTAGAGCAACGTAATATTCTATCGGTTTTGTTATCTTCTCGCATCAATATACCACTTGCCAGTTTCTCTTTCTCTAACCATTTGCCATAGACACAAATTGCTGAAATTACCCTGGCATATCTGAACGAACACGAGTAACATAACTTTGCGGTGAAATGCTACTGAATATTTGATAGACATTATTATCCAGAACAGATAGCTTAATCTTTAATATGGTTGTGTTTGATAATCGTTAAACATTGTTCAATATTTTCATTCATTATAAAAGAAATATGCACACGAGTGTGTAAATCTTATTTTTTCTTTGGCTATTAATTAATTAATAATTTAAATTCATCTTTCAGACGAATTAATTAGAAACATTTTGTAAAATATCACCGTATCACGCGAGTAAAACAGTAACGAGTAAGATTTTAATATTTTTTCAATTAAAGAAGGAAATATGTTTTTTTTTTCACAATTAGTCGAACGCGAAGCACGAGTTTTCTTTCTCTTTTTATTTATATTTCTCTTTCTCTCTCTCTCTTTTATTTTTTCACACGTTCGTCGTTAATGGAAAAAAACTTTGACTTACTCAAACCGACTAACATAAATTCCACGTTTCTTTTTGTAACTAATTTTTCTTTTTTTCATTTTCTTTCCCTTTCCCTGTCAGGATGTTGCTCTCTATTTTGTCAACATTATGAATTTGCAAAAGGGAGATGAGCTCTTTTCATCTGTTCTTACGTTTCTTTTAAATGAAGAGCTGCTTAGACTCAAAAGACGGACACCTTATCTTGGATAAGTAAAAATGCGACTCTTTCCAATCTCCTTTTTCCCCCTCTATCCTTTCTTCTCTTTCTCATCCTCTTTTTCCTTCTTTTACTGTTCGTTTTTTTTATATTTTCGATACACGAGCAGTATTCTTAATATCCAAGATGCAAATTATTTTTAGGCTGCTATTATTGATAAATACTGACACAATAAACGGAAGTTTTATTTATGGAAGTCGAGATAGTCGTGATTTTTATGACTTCATAGTGATTTCAAGTAAGTTTTTTTCTATTATTTTCATTTTGATAAAAAAAGAAAAAAAAATACAAAAAAGAAGAGGAAAGATAACAATGGGAGAAAAAATGCACCGATTACGGTTCGATATCCATAGAAAATTCGCGAGAAAACTAGAAACGCCGAGCCGAACGTTGCGTCAACATTTGCGCTTTGTGTGCTTCTATATATGTGGTTACGTTCACAAATACTATTCCTCCTCCTTTTTTTTTCGTTTGTTTGTTTGTTTGTTTGTCTGTTTGTCTTTTTTTTCAACGCACGTATCAGCCGACGAACCAACGAGCAGATTTTTTGTTGTTGCTTATCACACACATTTTCGTTTTTGAAAGAATATATTATAGGTATATACCTCTATCATCTTCGCTAAGAAAATGTTGTTCTGCGTTAGTGATGGTAAAATAATGAGACTGCATCGATATTTATTATATATAAATAATTATCATTAAATTATAGTTAAAAAAAGAAGAAAAAGAAATAGATAAGGTTAAATACGATAAAATTCCATGAAATTCTTGCTTCTTACGCTTCGATGGTTAGCGCACGCGTACGAATGACCATGTTTAATTAATTCCTATCACGTTTTTCCTCGAAAGCTGAGCTTACTTATCCGACTGTATAATTGCCAGATACTCAGGATGGTACGTCCTCCGAGAGAACTTGTCGATTCTACAGGGACATGTTGCGCGTGCGGTATTAAAATTTCTCGACAGTCCGAGATGGTGAAACTCGTCTCTGAATAGCAATGCAGAGGTGAAGTGCTGGTCTTTTCTATTTCGAGGAACACTAGTTACAGAGTTTTGAGAATTTCTTCGATCATGGAAAATGTTTCAGTGAAAGACAAGAAAGAGTAATGGGAAAAAATGTACAAACAAAAAAATACAGTAATTTAAAGAGATAATAATGGTAAATCCTTTCAATGGTATTTGGATATATAGAGAACAATATTAATTTAGGTTAGGGGATATTTCGTTGACAACAATGTCTAACAACACGGATTCTCTGAGAAAGGGGACTCGGCCCAATCTAGATCGGTCCAAAGGATCGGAGAGCCGCAAACGTAACCACTCCTTTGGACGTCTAACAAGGGAGGTTACAAGCATTGGACACAGAGTCAATTAAGGGTTGTCGTCGAACTGGCTACGTCTGGCAAGGGTTTAATGATCCAACATACAGACAGACCGACGGGATCAGACGAATTTCTAACTTGTCCTATTTCTGAGTAACGACATTGCACCTTGACCCGAAATGATATTTTGGTTATTGTTCAATCCGACAACTGCACACCAACTTTCAGTGGGATTATTTAACGAGTGTAACAAATTTTTCTTCCTTTCTCTTGAATAAGTTCAACATGTGTCTGAATATCTCTTATATATAATACAATATTATTACTTTTATTTACAAGATAAAAAGGAAGTAAAAGATAAATGAAGGGCATATTAAAAAGGAAAGCTCATAATAAAAGAACAAATTGTGCACCGTCAACATGTACCTATCATTAATTAATTTCACAATAAATACACGTGCGTGCATGCATATACGTCTACCTACATATTTGAGAAGGGATGTCATAAATTTACTTCCCCCAACAATCTCGTTTGTTTCGTTATCTCATTATGTAGCGATCGTTGAAATAAAATAGAAGTTATCGCGAAGTTCAACGATCACTCGTGTACATTCGTGAATATAACGACGGTGTTTACGGCAATCGTCTCTCGACAAGTTTTCCTCGTAGTTGGGATAAAGAATTTTCTTTTTTTTTGTAAAGAATCAAAAATGAGTAACGATGGAGAAAGGGGGAAATATAAGTCACCGGATGGCTCTAAACTGTGGGAATATTTAGCAATTTTTGTTTGTAAGGATTTCTTGAAAATCGTGTTTGTACAAATCATCGAGATCAAAAGTGAAATCCATGTTAATTCGCAAAATATTTTAGGTAATCTGTTGACTTTGTCCGTTGGTATAGTGTTAGGATGGAATGCACCAACCGTTGTATTCTTATTATCACCGGATTCACCAATTCATTTTACTAGCTCAAATATCTCAACTTTAACGGCTGTTATGTCAGCTGGTAATATGTTAGCACCGTTAGTCAGTGTGCTTTTACTTGATAGAATTGGAAGAAAATATACTATATTGTTATGTAGTCTACCACTCATCGTTGGTTGGAGTATGATCATGATGGCGAAAAGCGTATTGGTAAGTTTGATATTTTCATTTGTTATAAAGTTAAAGTATCTTAAATGAGAATTTCATCATATTAGACGTTTTTTGTTAAAGCGATATTACTGAAACTTAATTTAGAATAATAAAGAAATCGTACCACAGCAAAATTATTTTTCGAATTATCTTGTATAAATTTTAATTGTAACATTTACGATTTATTTACTCATCACGTAGAAGTCAGATAAGATAAGTAATTTCGGGCTAAGCAATTATTCGTAAGAAAGTGTTTCATATTTCTCTTACTTTTTTAATGTTTTTAGGTGATGAATGTGGCTAGGTTTGTTTCTGGGATTTCTTTGGGATCTGGCTTAATCACAGCTACATCATACTGTGGTGAAATATCTTCAGTAAAGACGCGAGGTGCTAACGTATCGATATTGGCTGTAATGTTCACGATTGGTATCTTAATGTCTTATATAATAGTGCCATATCTGTCGATGACAAAAGTAGCTGGTATATTCCTATTTTTGTTGATTTGTTTCGTTGTTCTATTTTCATTTATGCCAGAATCGCCCTATTATTTGGCGATGAGAGGAAGAATCGAGGAAGCTGAAGAGGTATTAGAAAAATTACGAGGTAAGACTGATGTATCTGAAGAATTAGCATTGGTTTTGGAATCCTCAGTGACAAAGAAAAATAAAAAATCAACTACTTGGAACATATTGAAAGATATATTAATGATTAAAGGACATCGACGAGCCTTATTTATCAGCTTTCTCATTATCATAATTATACAATGCGGTGGTTTCGTTACGATGCTCATGTACGGACAGTTGATTTTCTACGAAACAGCAAGTACAATTTCTGATTACAAAGCGAACGTAATTGTTGGTATTGCATTAGTGTTATCTTCCATCCTTACAATTTTATTAGTTGACAAATTAGGTCGTAAACCATTTATCTTTGTATCCGGTATCATGATTGGCCTTTGTACTCTAACCATGGCCGTTTATTTTTATGCGAAAGATTATCTTCTCATAGATATGTCATCAAACATTCTTGTATCATTAGTTGCACCCATTTTAGTGGTATTCTTCGGTAACGCTGGTTTTTCTAATATACTGTTGATCACGACTTCCGAGATATTTGCTATAGAAGTCAAATCGATTAGTTCTTGTATATACGGAATTTTTAATGGTTTATTATCGATCATCGTTAACAAACTTTATATTCATATTGCGATAACTTTAAATTATGGTCATGCTTATCCCTTTTTTGGATTTTGTCTCATCACCTGGCTTACTACAGCTTTGTTGCTTAGTTTATTACCGGAAACCAAAGGCAAGACTTTTCAAGAAATTCAAAGAGAATTTCAAAGTTGAAAGTACAATCATTCGTTAATACGCTTATTAGCATGATTAATTAAACGATGAGTTTTTGAAACACATAATTATGATCCTGTTGCTTCTGATGACGTGGTAAGTTTCGAGATCGTGACTCGTAAATCGGAAATCCTATTTAATCTTTTTAAAAATGTCTGGAGTTTTAACTGATATTTGAAGATTTCGCGAGGAAGAATCTTCTATGTAAATACAATTGTTCATGCTGTAAGCGCGTGGATAATAAATTTTTTAATATAATGTTCATCATTGTTAATATATTGGAATTGTAAATAATTTAATAGTTTAGTCGAGTAATTCTTGAATTCATTGCCAAGCAAAAATCCCTTTTGCTTGTTTGAATTTATTTTTAATCGTTAGATAAAGGAGTTAACTCCGATCTCTTACGAACGATAATCACTATTCAGTCTTAAAGACATTGCTATTGGCAGAACCATTAGTGGTTGGAATTAGTTTTTCTTTCTGTGTAGATACAGCCTGTGGGAAAGCTATAAACAGAAACCACTGTCTACTTATCTTACTTTGTGTAGGAGTAGATTAACAGTTTCCTTTCGTTCGCGGAATCCTTTGTTTCGTAAGTATGAAATCCGGTTGATATTTCTAAAGCAAGAAATGCAATGTCGTCTTCTTCTTTTGAACATTAAAGGTACCACCAGAATTGGTAAGACGATAGGTTGTACAATTTTTAATGAAAATTCTGCTTTCAACGTTACTGTCATTTAACTATATAAATTATAAAATTAATTTATCCAATTGATCATTATATTCGCGTTCAATAGTAAAAGATATAACTTTAATTCCAAATTGAATGTTTAACCAATTCGTAGGTTTAGTGTTAACGTTTGAAAGTATAGTACAGGAGAAGATTATGAAGCTCGTTAATAAGAATAGACATACAGATCGTGTCGATGAGGAAACGTGAGGTTGGAGTATCGGCTTAAGAGCGTGATCGAGCGAATCGCTCTCAACTTTGCGGCTAGATCCATAGATGTAACGTCCCTGTCATCACAAAGCTCAAAGCGTATTCTGGATGAACAAACACAGATATCCGTCTCTGCATTCACCGGGCCTATGGACTGACCAATACCAACCAACTCTGGTGCCTTGTCCTCTGGCAAATAGAGTCCACACTATGCATACAATTGTATCATCGAACCAAACACACTAACTACCCCTGACACACAAACAAACACGTTCTGTAAATAGATACGCATACCTATGAATTCAAAGACATAAACCTATCCTGTTTCCAAGGATTTTCGTTGCATCTCAAAAAAAGAAAAATAAAAACAAAGAAAAATGAAAGAAAAAAAGAAAATCTTGCAATATTTTGTTGACAATTTTATACTGTATAACTAATTAAAAGAAAGAGTTTAATGACGACATCCATGTATGATTTTATTGCATCCCTGTTGTAAATATATTAATAAACTGTTGATTAAAACTTTTATCTTTGATTTGTTCAATGGTAACACAGATTTCTAGTCTTTTCTTTTTCTCTCTCTCCCTCTGTTAAATAATATGTATGCATGAATGTTCACTTCCTCTCTTTATTGTCGGAATAAAACTTCTAAACCTGGGAATCAGAATTCAAAAGGGACAATTTGAAAATCTAAGCAATCAAATGTTTGAATCGTTGGTGGGAAAGGACGCGCGCGCTCGATCGTATTATTCGATTGAAGTTCCAAGCGTGATACGATAGTCGGAAGTTAAGTTCCATTGGTTGGTCCTTTATTGGGATTAAATTCCCTGTAACACAGCGGCCACCCGTTTACGAACACTCCGGCGCGTCAGAGCTTGTTAAAACGTTTCTGCGGTTGTAAGTAAAGCACGAAAGCAATTAGCTCTCATTTGCAATTTGCAGTGCTGTTTGATTTAGACTACGGTTCCATGCTAGTATGTGAGACTACACACATATAAAGTGCGAACTGTGCATATATATAAGTATATATTCATGGATTGAAGAAACGAATGAAAACCGGTTGCGTATACGCACAAAATTAGTTCTCATTCTTGGACAATTTTTAGTATTATCATCTATTTAAACATTCAGATATGAAAGATAACGAAGTGTAATCAATCGGGTCAAGGAAAAAGTTTCGTATTTTTCTTTTTAATTATTCTATGATATTCCACCTTTCAAATGCACGCAGGCAATACCTGCGATTAATATTTTTTCTTTTAAATTATTTCAGATGATAGTTGTGTTGTTGATTCGCCCTGTATATAAAAATAAAATAAAATTGCAGACAATACATTTATATTAGCTATCAAAATTATATTACAATACAATGGAGGTAATATAATACTATTCCAAAATTCCGGAGAGACAATACCATATTATTCTCAAATTCTGGAGACAATACCATAATACTCCAAGGAAGAGAGCTTTCGCATATCAATTGGATAGTTTTATTCAAAGAATAATCAAAAAGAGAGCTCTACGCGAAATAACAGAACTTGCTTGAATATTGATCCTTAAAAATATTCCGTAACATTTATTATAATACTTGTTATATTTTTTATCTAGTACCATTAAATGGAATGACAATTTTCGAAAGTAAATGCTATAATATGACATAGTTAGTAAAAATTCAAAAAAGTTAAATGTTCTCGTTTAGTATCCAGCACACCGAGTCTGATAGGAAGAAAAAAAATGGCTGCAATTTGGACAATACGAAGGAAGAATTGTTGGGCTTCATTCTTGTTATAGAAGAAAGTCTTCCTGCCTTTATTCTCTACCTGGTAATATGTTTATGGCGGATGTGTACCGACAAAATTGTATGAAAAATTTACATTGCGCTGCACCGTCAAACTTTTGAGTCCGGTAACTTCTTCCAGCAAACTCTTTCTAGCATAACTCTTTTTCTTTCTCTTTTTCTCTCTCGAATGGCAAAACGAATAGGAAAAGTTGGTACTAATCAGAAAAAATTTCTTGCCGTGATACCAGTTCACTCCTGGTTTTCTCATTTCTTTTTCTTCTTCTTCTCCTTTTTTTTCTTTTTTATTTTGGTACTACAAATTCGAATTCTTGATGTGACGTAATTTTGGAATTCCATTATAAGAATATTTTTCGATTCCGAAAACATATTCAAATGCATGATATTACGATCCTGTTATATCCGACAGCGAGAAATTCATAACATTTATATTCATGATACTCTGTGGACCTCTAAAGTAAGAAATCAAATTGTATTAGGTTGTCCCATAAGTTCTCTTTCAAAGTATGTTTCGTTGGTGACAAAGTCTCTTTTGTTACGCCGTTTAACATGGATAGCCAAAAGAAGCATTTTTGGCATGTTATGCTTCATTACTTCAAAAATGTAGTAGTGTACAGGACACTGCAGACGAGATTTGCACCGTTTATGGGCCATTAATATTATGCCAATGAGAAAGTTCTCACTACTAATATCAATAAAAAGTTTCGTCTAATCAGCGATTATGATTATTAGAAATAAAAGTGTTTATCCCATAAGTATGCAGAATTATCCAGGTTCATTTCTCTGAGCAAGTTTAACATTGCTTTTAATGTCGCCTCAGGAAATATGATGTTACATAAATGAATCTCGTTGAACCTATGAACGGTTTATAATTCAAATAGCGTATAAGTCAAATTTTATATTTATGCATTTCGAAATGATGAAAATATCATATATTCGCAAACGGAGTAGAATTTTATAATTAATACATATTTTAAAACATATATTAGTATTTTATAATTGAATTTATATTTTTTTATTCGTAGAGAGAATTTACCTGCGTCATTTACTTTGGTTAATTAATTCTTTAGTTAATTTTACGACCCTCACCCCACCCCCTACCGCATTCACCTTTCTTCCAGTATATATTTATTTTTTATTTATTTTTTTTTAATAGAAAAAGTTGTATCGATTTTCAATATTTCTTCTGGTACCTCGATCGTGTCCCCATTTACCGATCTTCCCGATATTTTACATGCAACGCAATAGATAACGAAGTACGCGGTCTAAAAACCGTCGAGCTTCGGCTATCGTAAATCACAGGGGAAACTCGAATTATACGAGATCCTCTCGGGTAAGCGCGGATTGACCTGAAAAGTAGTGCGAAGAACGTTCATGGTAATACAATTTTCTATCGTTCAAGAGCGAATATGTAACGCACGACCAACTCTTGATTTGAGATATTCAAAAGGAATCCAACAAAAAGAGAAAACCATTCAAAGATGGTTACGAAAAAGAAACGGGAAGTAAAGAAGGAAATAAAAAGAAGGGGAAGAGAGAAAATGAATTTAACCCTCCGTAATTCAATTGTTTGTAGGTTCTGTAAAATGTTTCAGATATACGCTACTTTTATAAAAAAAAAATGTAGATTCGTACTTAAAATAATTGAAATTAATTTTGAAACGATCATACGAAATGTTTCATGTCATAATATATACCTCTTTAAAATCAGGTAACTCTTTTGTATTAGCAATTTTGTTCCAAACTGTCTCGTTTTTTCGTAATAAGTGATGTTTTAATTACGTCCTTAATATAAAATTATTTAAAATCAAGAATTATTCAGAGTAGCAATTCTTTTTTAAATAAATTGACTATATGTATACATCACTTAATTGTGTGTGACTTCAAATATATACAATATCTGTGGAGGGTTAAGAGACACGAATTAGTCTGCTAGTGAGTATGTGTTGTACGACGGAAATAGCAGAATTTAAAGAGAACGCAAGTCCTAATAAAAGTTTTTACGATCACGAAACTCGTCGAGTATAATCGAAATGTTCGTCCACTTTTCGTAAAAGGCCGTACGAAATTGCGAGGTAATTAAGCGGCAGTATTGTCGAGCGAGAAAGTTTTATTGGTTGTAGCGCGTCCTCTCTCTAACATGCATATATACACATATAGCTAGACGGCACTTATTTAGTTCATCGTTGTTAGAAAATCTCGGGTCGGATTAAAAGTCGTAAATTATATTTTACCTTTTATTAGCTGCCATTGTAAAAATCT